TCAATCGGTGTATGCTTAATTTCTAGTTGGTTCTTTATCACAACAGCGAGGGTCTCATTAGATTTCTTGTATATCTCATTAAGTTTATCGGCAGTTTCTAGAAAATTATTGAAAGACCTTAAAAGTGCGGTTTTGAGCTCTATATCCTCCATTTCTGTCATGTTTCTTTGTCTCCGCATTTTTTATGCTTTCTTGGTACACCCCCTTGTGGTCTTTGTGCGCAGTCTTGTTGTAGTTAAGCCTGATTGTTGTCGGCAACACTGGGGGTGATTTGACCTCCAGGCTAACTGGCTATGAGAGTCAGCTGTGTCTGCCCCAACCCACCCTTTTAGCTACGCCCCCTGCTCTCTGATTTGTCACTCCTGAAGCTGCCCCGCCCTTCTATGCCACTACACTTGCGGATGACCACACCCTTCTGAAAGTCAATTGGTCGTTCCTTTACCAATTCGGCCCTAGCCCCTCCTCTTCAGATTCCATTGGTACTGCCTTCCTACTGAAATATTGGGGGGGGGGGGCGGGGCTTCCTCCCAGGCAGGTTGGACTTAAACCTTTGCTCTCCAACCCTCCCCCCCTTCAGTGCAGTTTGACAGTCCCGAGTGGGAAAGGACCCCAGGCTCGGCCAAGGAGCTCCGGAAACCCCCACCCAGAAGCCCCCATCTCGCAGAGCGTGTGGACCCTGCCCTGCCCCTGGAGAAACAGCCGTGAGTGGGGAAACTGAAGATGGAAGGCCTGGGTCGCATCCCTCCTGGCCCCATACCAGCTACACATCCACCGGACTAGGGGAGCTGGTTCATGCACTCATTCATTTCATTCATTTCTTCAACTACTCTTCCTTGGGCGCCGGCGCCTGCTGTGTGCCAGACCGTCTAGCTAGGACCTAGCTGCTATGTGCAAAGCAGAATCAGATGGAGTCTCCACCCCCTCTGGCATCAGACGCTGGGTTCGAATCCCTGCTCTGTATCTCCTGGCGACAGGACCTGAGCCTGTCAATTACCTGAGCCTTAAGCTGAAAACCCCCAAGAGGGTGCCTGGCTCAACCAGAGTAAAAGGGGATTTCCTCCCTTCGCTTGGGTGGGGCTCATAAGCCTGGGAGCTAAGAGCCAGATTCTCACCCCCAGGACAGGCCTGGGGTAAAACTGGGGAGAACAGGATTGTGAAGAGGCACGCGCTGGGAGGGTGAGGGTCTTCTCTGTGTCCCTCCAGCCTGGGAGCCCTGAGGGACTCCCTAAGCCCCCACCCAGGTCCGAGCCCCGTGGCTGTGTTCATCACAGTCATTCCCAAACCTTGCAGGTGGGTGATACCAACCTGGCTGCTTAGCACTGAAGCACAGGTGAAACGTTTATTCTCTTCAATTTTCTTTCAATACAAACAACCACGAAGTCCCTGTGCTCACCCCTCTCTGACACCTTGCTTGCAGCTGCCACCTCTCTGTGGGCACGTTAAAGAAAATGCTAAGTAAAGAGCGGTCCGGGTGGGTGGGGATACAGGATGGAGCAAATCTTGTGAGAGTGATAAGCAAGTGATTCAAGTTGGGGAGTTAGGGCGGGGCTGAGTTACCCAGCCCGGGAGCTAAGGTCAAGGTCAGGTGGAACTATATGCTCCACACTGGCCTGGGCTCGCTGCCTCCCCAGGGAAACAGGCTCCTCTTGAGAGACCCAAGGGAATTTTTCTCTTCGTTGCCTGGAGGCCAGAAGCCCTTTAACCACTGTGCCTGCGCCAGGCCCCTGGTGTGTGTGAAGAGGGGTGGCCTTTCCTGAGACATCTGCCCCCCTCCCCCCAGGTGGTTTCACGGGCCTCTGAGCCGGGCAGACGCCGAGAACCTCCTCTTGCTCTGCAAGGAAGGCAGCTACCTCGTGCGGCTCAGCGAGACCAGCCCCCAAGACTGCTCCCTGTCCCTCAGGTGAGACCCCCCCTCCGGGAGGTCACTGGACTGCATGCGGCATGTTTTCAGGTTTGAGCAGAGGGGTGTACCTCCAGCAGCCAGGGGGCTGGGCTTTCAGGCCCATGGCTGGGACTTATGGGACCTGTCAGTGGGGCCTCCAGGGAGACCTACAGAGAATGAGCTCCCTGTCATGGGAGGTATGCAAGAAGATGGCGTGGACGCCACACAGGAGATCTAGGACTTGGGTGAGATGGAGAAGCAGGTGTCAGTTTTCGGGGGCCCCCCAGTCCAAAAGTTAGAGTATATTCACTGTGTCTGTCCCGGGCTGGAATCCGAGTGGCCCTCCAGGCATTCGAGTTTGAGACCCTGGCGCTACCTGCTTCTCTGCCTAAGGTTCTAGGCGTGTCTGAGCATACGGCACTCCTATCCTACTAGGCATCTGAGCGTGAGATGCCTAAAATCCCAACATTGAAGAGGCTGGTTCAAATCCTGCCTCTACCACTTTCTAGCTGTGTGACCTTAGCTCATTTGCTCACCTTCTCTGGACCTTGGTTTCCTCATTTTTGAAAGAATGATAGCATCGATTTCATGGTAATACTGAAATGATTACATGGGAAAAAATAAATGAAAAAATGTTGGGAATAGTGCCCCAGAAACAGGATGTACTTGAATCATGTTAATGATGTGGATGAAATGATTCCCAGGTTCTACATCATTCCACCCACCTGAGACAGAGAAAGGAAAGAGACCTCAGACTGGGGGTTAACTAGTGGGGAGGTGAGGTGGGGGGGCACCAAGGGTCAGGAGGTTTGGAGAGAAAGTCAGTTCATGTTTCAGGGGAGGGGCTGTCCTGGCAGGGCC